TTTATTGTGTTATAAGACTATATATTGTCATATATTTTGGATATCATCTTTTACTAGTGTGAAGGGCTGCATTATAGTAAAATTATTACATTTTTCTAAATTAAACAGATTGTTCTAGCAGTTCTAATTTCTGCCTTTATCCACTTTATCATTATTTTACTAACTTTTTTTCCATTTTCTGTATTTGTTCCCATCTTAACAAGGTTATAAAATGCTAATTTGCCAGTTCATATTTGTGCCTCTACTGTGACATGTTTACGTTAATGTTCAAAAAGTCAGCTCTGATTGGTTAGCTGACCGGCTGATACATTTTGGAAGTTTTCATTGCATAAACATTTTGTGGAAGCACCAACCTTACAATGTCGTCTCAACAGGTAATAAAAAAATAATTTGATATATTACTTTTTTTAACGTTGCCCAGCCCTACTATAAGTCATCATGTTCTAGCCTGAGGGAACAAGCAAGAACAATAAAACTGTCAAACACTCAATCTATAACTGCGCTACATTAATCATGTGTTTCTTTAAGCACAATTAGTAACCCTAATTACGGCTTTAAATTTCAGCAATAATACCTGCCATGCTCTGACGATGTGTCTATTTGTTTGATAATCACTGCAATAGAATGGAGAAGAAACAAGTGTTTGCATGTGTGACATGAGAACGAAGATATGGAAAGTCAGAGACAAAGAATTTTCAAGTAGTTTCATCAAGTGCTTAGCGGGAGCGCGGGGAAAAGAGCATCGGGAGAAAAAAGGAGGCGAGGATGTTAAAAGAGCAGAGAAGAGAGTGGCGCTTGTTTTCTCCTCCTGCGTCTCCCTCTGTATTCTTTGACACAAACACCTGCTGACTCTCTCTGTCGGCTCCGCCCGCAGACAGGGAGAGAATGACAAATATACAGAGGGACAAAGGTAAGAGAGACGCACACACGCATGAGGAGGAGGAGGAGGAGGACTCATTTCTCAGGCAGATGGTCTTTTTCCTTTGAGTGGAGGAGCAACCAGAACATGAAGATGAAGAGGAGGAGAGAGGCTGAGGCAGAGAAGAGGTAGAGAGGGAGGGAGGAGGGGGAGATAGGTGGCTTGATGGAAAGGCATAGCGCGCCAAATGACAGCGGGTAGCAAATGATGAGAGGGTGATCAGAGAGGGAGGGAGAGAGATGAAACCACTAAGGTGCTGTTGTTATAGCAACCTGCTGCTCTGGTGCTTTGTGCGCTGCATCCTCCTTCCTCGAGATCGCTCACTTACTCCCTCTCTTTAAAGGTTGAGCATCATATCCAATCCTCAACATTTAAAAAAACATGTTGAGACACTTCCAAATGATGGGCTTTTTTTCTACATGTTTACCAGAAGGTGTACAGCTACAACAACATGCTCTGCTCCTGATATTTATCACAGGAAGTTGTTGTAAACCCAATCCAAAGTCGACAGAAAATGCATCTTTTTGAAAATAGGATGCAGGCTGCGCAGCGCTTCTACGCAAAACCATGTCTCCTTTCTTTCTCCCACACTTCCATATCATCTCCTCCACCTGTTCTCTACTGCTAGTACAGCGGATAAGCACAACAATTGTGCATTTTATGAGAAAAGCATGACATTTCTAGCATAGTTAGTGCATACCATAAGGTTTATTTTCAGATGTGGAGGGAAGTCAGATTTGACCTGTGAGGACCGTGACAGGTCAAATCCAAGATGGCAGCCAGTCTCTCGGGTCAAATGTTCAAAAACGCTTAATTTTGGAACCAAACATTGTAGAAAAACATTTAAGGTGTCATATCCGACTAAATTAGGGATGCCCAATCATTTGGTGATAC